CCTGCCCTGCGCACTCCGAGTGTGGAGGCTCCGGGCACTCACCGTCACAGGCAGCTGTCTTTCTGAGGTGCTCAGCGACTCGTTGACGGAGCAGTGGATGACTTTGTCCGAAACAATCTGGATCTCGCATGAGATAAGGCCAATTTTCACTTGGTACTCATTGCTTTCCAGGCCCAGGCTGTCAGGTTCTTTCTAACAACAAAAATAGAATCAGGATGTCAGTCTTTAGAGTAGCAGTCGGAATTGCAATGGATTTTCCTGCTTTACTTTCCGTATTCCCTGCTGTTTTTCAGACCTGAGAGCACTCTCCTTGTCCAAGGACATTTTTCCAGCACTCCACAGGAAACCCAGAACCGGGGTTCCATTCCCCATTTTCCTGTTTCCCATTCCTCACTCAGCGTGGGGCATGGGACGAGCGAGCCCCTTGTGGAACCTGGAAAAATCTGCTTTTGATCTGCCCTGGCTGTGCAACACAGATAAGGATCTGAGCGCCCACCTGGGAGGGGGGAAGGATGTACAACAGAGGAGACAGTCAGGGGATGCGTCTGCAGAGCCTGAGAAAGGGGGAGTGCATTTCTGAAGCACATTGCCACCAGTGAGGATATCCTGCAGTGAACAATGGCCTTTGAATTACCATTGCACATTGTCCAAGCCACTCAATTGCTGTATCCCGACTTCCTTGTTAACTGAGCTGAATTCAGTAGCCAAAAGAGAAGAATGCATGACCTGTTTCTGCAGGAATAAATATCTATTGTCAGGACCTTTTGGAGTACCTGCCTGATTTCAGGCCAGCGCATTATCGTTCTTTTTCATACGTCCAGTATTTTATTTAGCTTCTTGCTATTACATCCTTCAAACGCAGCTCTCTGTCGTCATGCCTCAAAGGGCATTCTCAGGTCAGGCTGCGTCTCCTGGTGAAGACTGATGCAGGTGCAGCAGGCTGAACAAGAACTGCTTGCTCCTGCGCAGCTCCTGCCTCCCCCGTTCTCATCCGCCCCCCTTCTCTCTCCTGCGTTTGTGGACAGTTTTTGCTGGCACTTAGGACTGAAGAGCTTCCCAGTGGGGAGCAGACAACACCCCCAAAGAAGCAGAGCTGTAAAAGCCACTCTCTCTCTTACATGTATAACCAGAGTTAAAGGCTCGCCAGGATGGTGCTTGATCCACTTCTCCTTCTTGGCTGTAAAGAACTGGGGGTCGGCATAGTACTCCAGGCTGAACTTGCTGATGTGCAAGGCCTCCTCGGGGTACATCTCCTCATCCAGAGCTGGACGGTCGTCTGCATAGAGGCGACCATTGAGATAGAAATCGATGGGTGCGGGCTTGCTCCCTGCAGTGATGTTGGAGGCAGATGGAGAGGGGCAGGTGATCACAGTGTCGGTGTGAACCTTACAGCTCTGAAAGCAGGAGAGAGCATGCACATCAAAAAACCACCATCCTGAGTGCTCCCAGCCAGCCTTGCTCCCAGCCCAATCTGTCGCACGGGCCAAGGCCTCAGCTTCACACCCCGAACGCCTCCAGGCACCGGGCACGCAGCCCTGCTCCCAGTTACCAGGCAATACCCAGCGGGGACACCCACCGTTTGCTCTCTGCCGATGCCACGGACCACCATGGACGCGTTCTGGACCAGCTCAAAGCCTCTGCCTTCCAGGGTGAGGATCCTGCCCCCGCTTCGAGGAGAAGGGAAGAAAGAGGGTGATTGCAGAGGACAACACGGAGCAGCGAGGTGCAATGGCTGGGTGTCCGCCTGCTGTCATTTTCCCAGGGACGTTTCCCAGCTATTTGAGCAGAAAATGTAACCCAACAGCCAAAGTCTTCCTCCAACTTGCAGCAAGCACCCACACTGCTACCAAGACATCAGGGCAGGAAGGAGGAGCAGCAGCTGCTGTGGTGGAAAGGGGGGAACCTCTTCCAGCAGCAGCAAACTGTCCCCCTTGCTCCCACTCCCCAGAGGAGCAGCCTGCCTCTGCATGCCAGGGTACGCAGCAGGTTGCCCAGGCCACCAGCGGTGTAAGAGGTTAACCTCCAACCCCTCAAAGCAAGGGCCAGGAGATATTCCTTGCCCCTGCCCCGCAGTAACCCGCAGAGAACTCTAAGTCTTGGAGAGGGAAGAGACTCCTTTAAGGTTGACAGGGATCCTGTGTCTCCCAGACACTTCTGATTTAGATCAAAATGTGAAAGTTGTTTTGTGTTTTGGATCTGTTGCCTGGGGAATGCAAAATACGGGCCGCTCAATGTGCAGTCAATTGACAACGACAGTAACAAGGACCCTGATGCACACACGACTGATGGGCAGAGCAAGGGGTGGAGAACCAGCACCGCTCGTCTGCTCTGGACAGCAGAAGCTATACTCGGGGCTTACCTTCCCCTTGCTCCGTATCACATTTACTCTGTTTGGAGTATCTGTCAGGAACAGTCAGGACTTACAAATCCCTTTATCTCAAGACCACTCCAGACACAGTGGCTTTGGGTCCAAGGCCCTGAAAGTCAGGTTGACTGAAATCTGTAGATATTACCATGTAGTTATGGTCCAAGTTTCTAACTAAGAGCCTGTCACATCTGCAGAGTAGTTTACAACTTCTGTTTTGCTTTAAACTTCGCTTACACAGATTGTTTTAGCAACATGGTAAGATAAATCAGATCCAGCTAAATTTTTACACAAGTTATTGACCCCTCGTGATCAACGGCCCAGCAACACACTGGAGCAGTCAGGCCACACGAGCCACCAAGCAGTCTGAAGAGAGAGACTGCTGTCACGTTCTCAGCAGTCTGAAATGTGGAAACTGCTGTAAATACTAAGAAAGCAGACTAAGGTGATGGAGAAATACCCTGGTGGCTTCCCTTGTGAATATGGGCAGTGACATTCTTCCACTGTCTCTGTGTTTAGATACCGCTCTCGCCACTCAGCATAGCTCGCAAGCCTGCTAGGGGCTGAGGTTGGCTGAGTCACCGCTGTGCCTTGTCATTAACTTTCCCACAGTCTGCATCTTTGGCGATGCGCTTGGGAACGCCGAGTCCGATTTGCTCCAAGGGGATCAGACCGTCAGCCTGCTGCGTGCTTGCACCCGAGCGTGCTGCTCTCAGCGCAGTCCTGCAGGCACAGGCGCCGGACTCTCAGATTTCTTGGTCAGCCCTTGGTTTTCCAGGCTCTGCAGCCGAGGAAGGTGGGATTTCACCATGGTATCCAAAGGAACAGGAGCCTGACTGCTCCATAGAGAGACATGAAATTAAAAGCAACACGCTTTAAAAATGAAATACTTTGACCTCGGGGAACGCTGAAATCAAAAATTACAAGTCTCAGCTTATCCTCCAGCATTTTTACTGGCCAAGAAAAATCTTCAGGGTCTCATAAAGCCCCCCACCTTAACCTCCCTAAAGCACCCACCAGGTTTACACAGTACAGTTACCAAGGCTGACTTTTTTTCCATGTCTTAAATGCACTGAAATGAGCTATGGACGGCCCTGGTGCGTGACACCTCTTCTACTCCAGTGCTGGAGTACCCAAAGCACCCTGACAGCACTCCGCAGCCCCTCTTCTACCTGTCTGCAAGGCAACGTGTCAACCCCCAGGGCTGAGAAAGCCCCTTTCTCCCTGTAGGACCCTCTCTCACCAGCCTGGAGCCAACCCTCTCTTCTGCAGGCAGATGCAGACATGTGCCAGCTCTGAAATGGAAGTCCTGATGGATCGGCACAGGGCCTCCATACCATACCCTGCCTCCTGGCCGTGCTGCAGTGACTGCTGGGGCTCCTGACACGGGGTTTGCTCGGGATCTACTCTGCCTCTGGACGGCATGAAGCACAGACAGCGTGAGCTCACGTTGCCTGCAGCGGGCTACACCAGGATACTCCAATAGCTCTGTGCTTTGATGGGACAGCACTGTTCACTTTTGCATTCGGCAAAAATTATGAGGCTGATCTCAACAAAGGCCACAAATCCTGGCGGACTTGGCTGTCTCTGCTGGGGGAGGGATCTCACCTGATCTGGCTCTTTTTGGGGTTGATGTCTGATATAATCGGGTTCTTCTCATACTTGAACGTGATGTTGTAGCTGGCACAAGACTTGTTCTCAAACTGGACACAGACTCGCACGGCCGTGGTGAGGTCCGCGGACGGCATGGTGCAGGTGATGGTGCTGTCATTGCGGCTGCGCAGGGAGAGGCAGGGTTAGCTGCAGCAAGCCACGGCAGACAGAGCGGCCGGAGCCAGGCACCACGGACCTGAGCCCTCCCGGGGCAGCGTGGTGGTCAGCAGAGACAGGCAAAAAGGAGCTTCCAGTCACATGCCAATCACCTATTAATCACATTGCCTACTAACAGGCAATTATGAGCATATACCATCCCAGGCTGCCAGACCGATTTCCCAACAGCTAAAGGAAAAGGCCAGGATCCTGCTTCTTCCCACTGATGAGACGGGAACATACAGGAGGAGGGGTTTCTTCCAACCAGTGAGCTGCCGCAGGAGTGGGACCCTGGGCGTGCAGGTGCCTTCTGCCTCCAGCAGATCTGGGAAGGAAGCCCATGCCTGCTTCACCCCCAGGGTTTTGGTCCTGGTCCCAGACCACCCAGGGGGTCTGGCAGTGTCCTGCAACGGTGCGCGAGAAGCAGTTTGTTTGCTGCTGATCGTCGCCACCACATCACGGCAACACCAACGCCATCGCTTTGCCAAAGAAACTTGCCCCATCCTGGTGTCAGGCACCCGCACCACAGCTCTGCCTCACCGCTCCGGGGATACCAGGCTGACGGGGCGCTGGAAATGGAGCAAGCGGCAGCCAGGCGGGCCGGTGGGGATGCTCTGCTGGCTCCAAGGCTAGCAGCAGCACGCAAGTGTGCCCCCCACCCAAACTCCAGCTCTTCCTGATCTCCTGGGAGACAATATCATCCTTCCTAACGCTTTGGCTCTTGTCACTAGTTCGGTGCCAGGCCCCAGACCTAGTCCCACCTGAGGTCAGTGCACTGCTTGGAGGTATTGACGAGGACACGGAGCTCAGAGCCGACGTCCAGCCTGCTGCCTCTGATGGTCACTCTGGTCCCTCCAGCCTTCGGGCCATTCAGGGGAGCTATGGACTGCACCACAGGAAGCTAAAAAGAAAGGGGAAATCTGTTTTCTAGCCTGGTAAATTCACATTTGGATACTCCACACTGCACATGGGAGTTGCTTCAGTAAATTTAGGTATCCGGTATTGTGAGGCTCTGAAACAGCAGCACACCAAAAGCTTTCGCTGGCAGGGTTACAGAATGAGGAGAGAGGTACAAGTGCCAAGAAGTAAGATCATATAAAACCTCTGTGACTCTCTGCAGTCCCTAAATTCTGGCAATAAATGAGACATGAGTTCAAACTGGAGCCCAGGATCCCACCAGTCCCTTGAGATTTCCAATGGAGGGTCCAGAGCTGGCAACAGCTCAAGGTCCATCAGCAAAAGGAAATTTCTCATCCATTCCAGCTCCCACCATCTCTGCCCTTCCAGATCCATTTCCTCCTGAAGGCAAAGCTAACGCTAAAGCCCCGCTGGATGTTGGCTTTGAGATCTGTGAAAACAGCCACATGGGTCTAGATAATTGAATCTCAAACTCCTTCTTAAGGAAGCTTCAAATCTGAATCTCTTGAGGCGACAGGAATGAAGGGGGAAGTTACTTTGCCTCTCGCCATTTACAGCAGAAATTAGCATGTATGTTATCTGCATTTGCAGCCCCTGGAAATCTTCCTGAGATTCATGAGCTTGAGGCTTTGATAACTAATGCAACGCTGAACCCTCATGCCTGCTACAGAGCGCCCCAGGAGAGTCTCTGGGCAGCTCCCCGGCGCTGGTTTGGATAGGACACCAAGGGCAGAGCAAGTTATTATTTCAAGACCCTTCCATAAGGCACTTGGTAATCCCTGTCAAACACCGCAAACCCTGGTGGCAGGAGACCCGCCGGGCTGCGCAGGTTGGCTGAAGGCTGCTCACCGCCACAGCCCATCCCTCGCTGCAGCCGCAGAGCAAAACCGCACCGGGACAGACTGAAGAACATGAGCTAAGCTGCTTCGTACTGCCTGGTGCTAATGCCCTTTCCTGTCAATCCCAGCCACACAAACATGCTTATTAATAGCTATCCTTGCCCTTGTCCTACACTCAGACTGCTTTATTTCTCCACAGCCATTTCCTCTGTTGTTTCTGATCATTACCCATTTCCACAGGATTAATTTTGTTAATTTGTATTTCTCTGAGTGTTTGCAGGCAGCTGTCTCCTGCCCTTGGCCCCTAACCTATACATTGAAATCTGCAGTTACAACAGCAGAGAGGATTCTTCATGTTCCCCAAAGCCCTCCAGCTCTTCCCCTCAGCCAGAACCAGAGTCTACTGCTCTCAGTGCATTGCCAGCACGGATTGCCTCCATCGCAGCTTTTGCAAATTCAGCTCATTTGGCAAATTCAGCTCATCCATAGGCTGCTATAATGTTCTAAAGAAGTCTCTTAATCACGTTTCTCCCCCCTCCTCAGCAGAATTACAACTGAATACGGTCTCTTCTAGATACGTCTAATGGGGACTTTGGAAGATGTAGCACACAAACAATAGTTGGTAAGTTACAAAGGACTTTCTTTGCAAGGACAGCTCTAAAAGTCTTCTAGACATTTTCAGGTAAACTGCTACCAACGCTCAAGCTCAGGTCTCACCAAGACCAGCCTTGCATGCTGTAGTGTGCTCCATCTTCATGCCATTGTATGTGAGAGGAGAAGCAAGAAAACTAAATGGCATCACTTAGTTTGCAAATGGTGCAGAAGCCACCTGTGGTGTAGAACACAGCAGCAGCTACACTTCGTGCAGCTTCACCCCCTGACACATGCATGCACAGAGCAGGGCACTGTCCCATCTCTTCTCCAAGCTTTGCTGAGACAGACACAAGACAAGGAGGACATCCTTTGCCATGAGCCCACTCAAGAGCTGCCAGCACAGAGCTGTTGTGGACTCAGTTTGAGTTCAGCGACTGGCTTTTGCTCCTCTTGCTTTGTTGAGCGCTGGTGCTTTTTACACCAGCTTTTCCTTGCATGCCGAAAGCTGGCGAAGAAGTTGCCCAGCCCTTTCCCACTCTTCGGGCCCTTCTCCTCTTTGTCATCAGTGAGTGATGTGGCCGAGTCAGCACACACATCCTGATGGCAACGTACCAGAAATCCCAAAGCCACGGTTCGTTACTGGGTCGTACCCCAGCTGTACCTTGCGCCACTCCAGACTGCTGGATCTCTAAGATGTTTTGGATGTGAACATGGATGCCTGGAAATGATGGGAATGGGTCCTAGAGCAAACGTCCTCCTGGGAACTATCGCTGAGCCAAGCCTGGCAGTGCCCTTGCCTCACTGGTCCCCTCCTCATGCGCTGCCAGGGCTGGCTCTGCCACGGGGCGCTGGATGCGCCATGCCTGTGCTGGCTGCACGCTGTAAACCTCCCTGAACTAAACACCTAGCACGTGATCGGTTACAGGGTGGGGGGATTACACTCCACGATCCTGCCCTAAATTCCTCACAATGGCTACCAGGAATCAAATGTCGTTTCCTGGGGCTCAAGCCTTCTTTCAAGCCACTAGACTGCAGCACAGTCTATTCTTCCCCAGCACAAGCACAAAGGCTCCCAGTAAACAGCGTGCCCTTGGCACCCATCCTGTTGTGTTTGCCCTGGAAGCACGGGGCTGCCTGTGAATAGCGTCTACCCACAGATGAGGGTGCTTGTAGGAAAGAGAAGAGCTGCATGCATTTCTTTCAGGTTTATAGAGATGAAAGTTATCTTTGTGAGGTGGTACAGTACAAAACTATAAAGGGCTTTTCTTTGTATAATGACACAGGGTTAGCTCAAGTCTAATCCCTACACATTATTCTCATGCAAAAACTAAGACAATCTCTGCAGCAAAAAAAAAATCAGTCCAAAATAATGTGAGTCCATGGTACATAACTTAGATGTAGCACAAAGAGACTTTGCAAGCCTCAAAAAATCTCACAGGTTGTAAAGGCACTTTAGCAAAGGAGGAGGAATTGAAACGAGCTCCTTTTTATAGCAGGAGAACCGATGCCACAGGCAGGCTAAGTGATGAACCACTGCAGGAGCTGAGGCTGGGAGCGAGGTTGTGTGCTGCAGTCCTGCCCCTGGTGCTTGAGCCCAGATTTGCCAGACCTGGCTCAGGTCACCACAGGTGAGGGATCAGGGCAGCTGCCCCTCGAGGACCTTGACACTTCTTGTTACAGATCCTCTTTCTAAGCCAGCTGGGGGCATGGGGGCTGCAGGCTTGTTTTAAGGGGTGCATGGAAGGTCAGCGTGAGAATCACCAAAGAAAGGTCCAGGAGGCAGCTACTCACCACGTAGGAGTATCGCTCCCTGGACTTCCCCTCCCGGCTCACGTTAACTGTCACCACGTCAGAAAACGCCTCCTGAGCCTCTCCGGTCTGGCACACGATCCTGCGGATGGGAAAGAGGAGGTTGGCGG